AACTAGTCCCGAGTTTTGAGGCTGTGTGCCTTTCCAAAAAAAAAGTTACCCTAGAAACATCCATGGTTTACAAAAAAATGAAAAAGACAAAAATGTTCCAAGATCTTCTGGATTTTTATGTTCTTTATTTCTTAGTATCAGCATTTAAAATACCAAATAGTCTAGTTTTTTGTAAACATGTTTAAACTGTGTACGTAATTACTTTTACTTATCTGAGATGGTAATGTACAAGAAAAGAATAAATTGAAGAGAAAGGCACCAATGTGTTTCTGTCACTTGGTCTTCTGCACTAGAAATGTCATTTTTTTGGAATTTTGTTATGTTGGGTGTGTTAGCCCTTTAATATTTTAATATTAAATTCTTGATAAATAGTGAAATATTTGGAGCCAAATCATATGCATATGCTCCATGCAGTCAGGGTTTATATATATATATATATTTTTTTTTTGTCTCATTCTGGTTTGAGGATAGCTTTTCGGGTTTTCTATTTCTTGACTCAGTTCAGTTTTTGATTTACTGTCTTGTCTTCCGTTCACTGTCTAGATGCACAAAAAATTCCCAATGCTTATGAAGTGGTATTCTACAATGAGACAGAGGACAGTCCGGGGATGATGCTGTGGAAATATCCTGAACCTAGAGTTTTAACACTGGTCCGAATAACACCTGTGCCTTTCAACACCACTGAGGACCCTGACATCAGCACTGCTGATCTGGGAGATGTCCTGCAGGTTAGTTTACTTGTAATGTCCATTTGCGCTAATGGCCTAGAAAAGTTATTTAAACGTTTAATATATTGAAGAGGTTTATCCACTTAATGGGTTTGTTCACTGTAGCAGAACTGCACGAGTTATGACTGCCACAGGGCCTAAAATTGAATGGGGCCTGGTCTTTGGCACATCATTTCTGCCACTAAGGGCCCATTCACACCATAAAACAGTGCACTGCAACACGCACGTTTTCATGTGTTGAAGTTTATTGCATTAGGTAGCCCATATATTTTGCATGGGCTGTCAATGTACCTCAACACACAAGAAAATAGGTCCTGTAGATTTTCTTAGTGCAGTGCAATTCAATGCAAAGAGCAAATGTAGTGCACTGTAACTCAGGTGCTTTGCACTGTAGATGTGCTTGTCGTGCATTGCAGTTCAATGGTAATTGTACCCCAAATCACATTGCAAACAATCCCTTACATTTCTGATGAGTCCTGCTTCTTCAGGGTGTCTGCATGGTTAGAAGAGGGCTTCAGTCCTTATTCAAAAATGGGATCATATCAAAACGGTTGATATTTTTCACTTTAAGCAGGCCCACTTTGTATCAACATCAACGACAACAGGATGCCAAGTTGATTGGACACAGACTTCAATATTTATTATTTGTGTTGTGTTGCCTTCATGCCTGAAGGGATGCATAATTACATTTTGGCAATTGGCAAGCAGTTATTATTCAGTTATTATTCAAAGGACCCAAAATAGCTCCCCCCACTTATTCAGTTTACTTAACTAATCTCCGTTAGATCCAAAGCAGCAGTTCCCCAATATTTTTCTGTAGTAGTTTTTATTGTATTGTTTGTCCTCTGATTCTATGTTGATGTGCTCAAATGTCTCTTCCCCTTCTTCAAAGCAGTTGATACAGAGGTCACTGCTTCCAGTTGCTGGCTTTGTCCAATCAGCTGGAAATTAGCTTGTTACACATGGTTTTTATCTGACTAGAAGTGTGTCTGCCAAATGTAAACTTGAATTGTGTTGTAAGGCAATATTTTTGTCACTGCAACCTGTTCAAGTTACCACTATGGTAATAATGTATGATGGAAGAAAGGCAAAGGGCCCCTCCATCCTGTACAGCTTGCTGTTACAGCTCACAAACTCACCTAGTCTAACTTAAGGAATGCCTTGTGTTTGCTTTAATACACATTATTGGTAAACAACATTGTGGTTTGCTATACAATAGCCAGTGTCGGTTTGCAGAATATGTTAACCCATTTTAACCAGCAATGGCAGGACGAGGCTCCTCGGCACTCAAAGTGAAGATGACAGTGCGCCCCCCCTCACAAGCAGAGATGGATTGCATTTGGACATCCACAAATACAGTGGCTCGGCCGATGCAGGCTACATAAATGACAGCTGCTGACCACCAGCCCTAAAGTTACCACCTTTTGGTCTAAGGACCACTGAACTGGATGGAGGGAGATGTTGCAACATGGTTAAACCAGGTTGATTTTGTCATAATCAGCATGTTAAAACAGATCATTATTATCATAGCAATCTTCATTCTTCCATCTGGGAACTAGATTATAATTTATAAAAAGTGTATTTTTTCATGTGACACTTTTTAAAGTTACTAGAATAAAAAGTACAAAGTATAACTTCATACATTGTCACAAAACCAAACACAGATTTAAAAGGTTTCAAAACAAATGATACAAAATATCTGCAACAAAAAAAAATAAGCGAAGAAAGGGATGAAAAAGTAAATAAAAACTAAGGGTGAAAAATGGACTACAATAAAAAAAGTTTATTTATTAATTTTTTTTACGCATACCACTAATTTTTTAACATATTCTACAGCCCTATACATACATAATAAAGTAGAGCCTCTGCATTACTGGCTGGACGCTTTTATAAATAAGTTCCTTGCTTCACGGATCTGTATCTTTGTCTCCGTGTTCTTTGATATATATATATATTTATATTGATTTATAGATTTGTAAATAAAGAAAACTGTTTTTAACCACTTCAAGACCAGGTGTTTAGACCCCCTTCCTGGCCAGGCCATTTTTCAGTATTCAGCGCTGCGATACTTTGACTGACGTTAATCCCGCATCGCATGGTGGCGCGCGCAAGGGGGCGTGTCTGAGCGGACGTCTAGAGACGCCCGCTCAGATCGAGAGAGGTCCTGGCCGGCCGTTTTTTTACTACGGCCGGCCCGGAGGCAGTTAAACACTTTTTTTAAACACTTGCACCTCCAAATATATTCAATTATCCAGAATAAAAGTATCCTACTCTCCTACTACTATGTATGGCTCACATGTTACATCACTTTATTGCTAAATTACAGGCATGGGAAAGCCAGCAGGTGAGTAAATGGTAGAATTACTTTTTTTCTGACATCCTTAAGCTGCTCATCTACCACAACACAAAATAAAGGTAATACCTAAATCTGGCAGTTTTTAGGTCACAAAAGTTCAAACTCCTTTTAATAGTCACAAAGACTGTTTATGAACCTGTGCTGCTTTAATCCAAATTTTTATTATGTAAACCAAAAACAAATAATGTTTAATGCAGTGAAGAAAACATAAAATAAAAGGTGATGCACATTTCAGGTAAATGGCTTTTTCATTTAGAAGAACTGCTATAATCTTTTCTGCAGGCCAGGGTTCATAGCTGAATGTATTAGTCCCAATCTGATGCAGTGCCTAATGACTTGTACTTTGTAATTTATGATGTAGCACAGCACACAGTGATACTCTGGAACAACTGATCAATATTTGTTTGTTTGCACAGCTGTGCACATTCTTTTGACTGTAGAAAAAAATGTCCTGTTGGAAGTCAGAGCTGTAAAGCTGTGCTAGGGATCTTGTTAGTGTACCATTGTTTTTTGGGGGCGGAAATTGGAATTTGAAGGATTTTTCCATACTCCCGGGCCCTTATTTGCATGCTGCTTGCTAGAGAATGGATGATATGACAGAGAAGAAGATTTTTACAAACTGAAGGAGAGAAACACTCTGTGTGTTGCCCATAGCAGTTAAAGTGATATTAAAGCCTATTTTGTTTTTTTTAGGGAGACCCTCCTTTGCTGGAGGATTTTGCTCTTTTTCTGTAAAAGTTTCTATTTCCTCGTTTTCTAGTCTCTCCCTGCAGCGCTTTTCCCCCCACCCCCTGCACGGGTGCCACCATCGTTCTAGTGGAGGCACCCGTGCGCGCTCGTGCGCGCTCGTGCCCCTCGTTTCTGCAGTGGCTGTGTGCGTCCATAGACACACACAGCCCTGTGGTAGGCCATGCACCTTCCCTCTTTGATTGATGGCAGAAGGAGCCTATGGCTCTGCCATCAGTATCCTCCCCCGCAACCCGAAAGTTCGTGGAATCGAGGATTGCTTCGGACTGGCAGCGGGGAAAAGCGCAGCTGACAGGTAAGCGCTGACTGGCGGAACGGACGGGGAGGGGGCGGGTACAGCTGACTCTGCCTCTAGATAGGCAGAGCCAGCTGTCACTCACGCAGCTGGGTGGATCCAGGCAGCATTGCCGGGATCCGTTCGGGCTGCGGCGTCTCAGTATACCGCGAGCTGTAGCTCGCAGTATACTGAGCTTAGGGTGACGGGAGGACGCTAGTTTGTGTCCTCCCGTTACCCTTAGGAGAACAATGGGGAAAAGCCCTAACCCCATAATTCTCCTTTAAGGTAAAAAATGCCCAGACCTTAATACTACTTTAGTAATATTGCAAAATGATTGCTGGAATCTAACTGACTTATATGTTCAGCAGTTTTTAAAGATCTTCCCCCTATAAGAAGCCATTGTCATAATTAAAATCCACCGGGCACCAGTGCACAATGATAACAGATCCTCATTTCTTATAATGTTTAATCAGTTTTTAAACACGGTAATCTCCCAGTTATCCGGCACCCATGGGGATTAGTAGATTCCGGATAACTGTAGTATCTGGTTGCTTGACAGTTACTATTAACTCTCAAGCAACAACCCCCCGCCCCATTTATCTGCAAGCTGGATTCTGCTATTGGCTATTTCTAATCGTCATAGCTAATAGCAGGCTGGCTATTGGACACGCCCACTGCCCATTGTTTACATTTGCCTGTCAGCTGAGGAATCTAGACATTGGTCACAGCAAGTTGTAAACAGGAATTTCGTTAGCAACTAAAAAAACGTAGTTGCTAACACAGTTTTTTTTAGTGTAGTGTTTGGTATACACTCGCACGTAAATGCCAGCAGCTGCTACATGGCTGAGAATACTAGTGAAAGACAGGAAGTGACCTAAGCATGCTGTTATACATTCATTCTATGAGGCTGATATTGCCAAATCTCCGCAATAGGGCGGGGGGACACACAGCAATAAAAACCTGACAAAAGCTCTAACCCTTTTCCACTCTAGCCAAAACTTTTAACTTTAAAGCAAGCAGCTTGAGCGTCCTAGTTGGAGGTTAATGTCATTAAGGGATTTTGGTGGTTTGAGGCAATATTTTATATATATATATGTATAATTTTCTGCAGTGAATGTGAGACCATCTATATTAACCTGTGTGTATCTGGTTCCTTGTATAATGTCATTAAGTAGGAGGCTATATTTTTGTTTTATTGATAAGCCAACAGAACCTCTACATTGTATGTTAGAATTTCACGATTTCCTTTGTAGCTGTTAATAACATTTTATTCTTTATGATATCCTATTGCATCTAAGTTTTTTTTTTGACATGTAGGAATTTGTATCTGTGGCAAAACTATACAGGTATCTCCTTTGTCTGAGAGGGGTGTTACGGGAACAAATAAAATGCTTTGTATTGTTTTTTCCCAATTACCTTTACAGAACTATTGCACTTTGTCTTTTTTTTTTCCTGTAACAGATTGATGTTCTTTACAGGAATACTTATAATAATAGATCTTTGTAGAGGTACTACATTATCTAATTTGTATATTTTGACAAGCCCCCTACACACAAAAAAATCCCTTATTTAGACCTGATAGCCTGAGTTGTATATTTTCCTAAAAATAGATTAAAGTGA